GACTCATATCCAGCTTCTCATCCACTGTAATTCCCAAGTCCTTCGCAGCAGAACTGCTGGTTAGCCATTCTGTAGCTGTGCATTTGATTTTTCCCTTCATATGTGTAGTGCTGTGCACTTGTTTTTATTTAATTTAATCTGGATGGTTTCAGATCAATTCTCTAATTGGTCACGGTCACTTTGAATTTTAATCCTGACTTCTAAAGTATATGCAACCCCTCCAAGCCTGCTATCATCTGCAAATTTTATGAGCATACTCTGCTACATTATCCAAGTCCAAGACTAACCCCCTGCATGACACCATTATAGATGGCTCCTGCCTCATTCAAGATATCAAGATGACTTCATAGGGAAACTGTCTTTTTACATTGACATATTTCTGTTATTATTCTACATGCTGGTGTGATGTAATACACCCCTGTATTCACACCCTACACACTATTATAATAATCTTTGTACAAAGTATACCTTGTAAGGGGGTATTTACAAACTCAATTGGCTGGTCAGTATTGTTCTGGTAAAATGTGTGGCAATCCTGTACATGCAGTTAAAAGATTCCCCTAGATTATGTTACCAACACGTATTCCAAACCCCCCAGCACAGTCCAGGCAGAAGTCAGGTCTATTCTAAACAAAAGAAGGAATCTGTGCTTGCCTTAATTTTGCATTTAACCAGCAAAGTCATCAGACAGGAAGGGAAAACAAGGGAAATTCAAACAGGTGAAAAAACCAGCAGGGATATCCTTCCACAACAGACTGTCTCCTGGTTCTCAGCTGGAAATATTTTTCAAAAGGGGGACAAGCTATAAAGAGAGGGACCAACATGCCAAGGCATCTCTTTCTCTCTACCCATCTCATTCTGCACCCCTGAGAAGACAAAAGGAAACAGCCATTGGACTCTAGGGGAGGAGTCCTGACCTGAAGGGTTTGGTCAGTAAGCTTACTGGAAACATGGTGACAAAGTCTGCTTTACAATTAAAATAGTTTAAGTAGATACGAGTAAGCCTTTTGTTTTTATTTTTCTTGTAACCAGTTCTGACTTTTAAGCCCCATTATTTTTACTCAGTTAAAATATCTTTTTGTAGTTAATAAACTTGTTTTACTGTTTTATCTCAGGCAGTGTGTTTAAACTGAAGTTTCTGGGTAACTATTTATGGTAATAAACTGGCATATTAGTCCCTCAAACTGACTTAATATATTTCTACTGTTCAGGAGACAGCTGGGAGATATAGGACATAAAATTTCTGGAGGGATGTTCTGGGACTGGTGGTATGTTGGGGTCACCATGTAGTATAACCTAGGCTGGTGAAAACCAGGGTGGAGCTGGCAGGCTGCAGTTACACACAGCCACTTAGGGTGGGGCATGCATGCTGTAAGGCTGTTTGTGAGCAGCTGAGGTGGGAGCTACTACAGCAAGGCACTGTAAGGCACCCAAGGCTGCGAGGCATGGGTGACAGCCCACTACTAGTCTGTATTGTGCTCTGGTAGGTCATATATGATGGTAGATGTTAAAAACTGGACTAGTTTTCATATTTGTTTTGCAGTTTGTCACTTTGATCACCTTTAAATCAATTCTCTAATATCTTTAAATTCATGAATCTTCAGATACAATATACAGATGTTTAGGTTTTACACACACACACACACTTTCATACAAACATCTGACAATTTAAATCAGGCTGTTTAAATTATAGCATTACAAAAGTGAGCGGTAGCCACATTCATGAATTTTAAAGTGTACTTCTATTCCAAGAAGCCACTAAAATAGCATGAGTGTTTCTCTTTCCACATTAAATTCCCATTTCAACTTTTCTTAAACAGAGCCTTGCAAACCTGCCATGATGTGTGAACATCACGTTGCATTGATGAGTGGGCTGGGGGGGGGGGGGGGGGGAGGAGAAGGGGGAGGAAGAGAAAATACCTCCAAACAACTTAGATTCAGATACCAGAGAGCTTGCAGTTGAAAAGGACACTCAACTGATTAAGTAACCTTTGAGATACATATGGAATCCTGTTGCGGTTCAATACAAGACAGGACACGGCTTTAGGCGAGCAAGCAGGCTGGTTTGCTGACGGGATTGCCCCGTCAGTTTTTCCACCTCTTTTATTTCTCTCCCCCCTGTGCATTACATACTCCGACCGCAAAAGGCATCAACAAAGGAAATAATATGACTTTGATTAATATTCTTATTTACCAGCCTCTATCTACTACAATCCTTGTTCTCAGGCCTTGAGCCCAGTCCAAGGAAGCTTCCCACGGTTCATGTCCTCTGAGCGACTTCCTATGGTCCATGTCCTTGGACGGAGCAGTGTGTGCACCGCTCCTACACAACAGTCAGGGTGTGCCCTGAATGTTTCCAGGTGCATGAACTCTACATGAACCCTTCAGAATCCCAATGTCATTTTTACAGTAATTTCTCAGATCAGACCTGCACAGTGAGGCACACTTGAGAACCAAATCTATAGGTTAGAGATTTAAGTACATCATGCCAAAAAAAGACACGATGAAACTTTGCTATGCTGACCATTAGTTTCCATATCTATATGGAGATAATAAGCAAAGAGGAAGGAAGGCCTGGCAAGACATGTATTTCTCTCCCTTATGTCTTAGTTATTTTAAAATGAGACGAATTGAAGTTTAGAGCTGTGCTCTATTTCAAGCAACTTATTCTTGAAAAAAATCCAGGTACACTATTATCAGGATGCTAAACTGGTATCTCAGCCATCAACTCAGCTGTCAGATGCAAAATGCAGGGATTGTAGTACAGGAAAAGCTGTGTTATCTGGCACTTTAATCCAGACTTTCAATGAAGATCAGAAATGCCAGTTTATAGAGCTTTCTGGTTGGTATAGTCCGGTTGGCATGGGGCCAGCAGGCTCTCTATCTGGCTCCCTGCTGCTCCTAGGTGGAGGAATGACCACAAGGGGTTTGAAGTGCAGACGGGGGTGCGGGAGGAGGCTCAGGGCAGGAGGGGTTTCAGGGTGCAGGATCCAGGCGGTGCTCATCTCTGGTGGCTTCCTGCAAGTGGCAACATGTCCCTGCTGCTCCTAGGCAGAGGTGCAGCTAGGTGGCTCTGCATGTTGCCCCCGCCCTGCCCTGAGCACTGGCTCCTCAGCTCCCATTGGCTGGGAACCGTGGCCAATGGTAGCAACAGGGGTGGTGCCTGCGGGCAGAGGCAATGCTCAGAACTGCGTAGCCGCACCTCCGTCTAGGAGCAGCAGGGATATGTTGCTACTTGCATGCAGCTGCCCGAGGTGACCACCACCTGGATCTGGAACCCTGCACCACCTCACGTGCCCCAACCCCATGCTCTAAGCCCCCTTCCAAACCCAAACTCCCTCCCTCTTAGTTAACCGGAATTTTTGACTTACCAGCAACCCCCCCGGCCATTCCCCCAACACGCCAGATAACAAAGCTTTTCCTGTATATACTTTTACTACTTTCTAATGAAGGCACACATTGCATGGTAAAATTTTATTTAATGTTAGTCTCAGAACTATTAGCGTTCCTGGTTGCCTCATACAGCTGACTAATGACAGCTGTGGTGCTGAAGGAAAACTACAATTAAGGAATATCTGCAAATTAGAATTCTATTCAAAACACAGAGGTATTGTATATATTCATATGTTCTTCAAAATGCTTTTGTGTTAAGGGCTTTTAGAAGATTTGACCTACGTTAAAAAAGTAGACTGAAGAAGAAACAGTGAAGTTTTTAAACTTTTCTTTTTGAAAAGATGTTCTTATAGTACATACAAAAATACATATGACTTCATTTACAAAACACTGAATTAAATAAATTACAAGAGGAAATTATGTAGTCTAGGATTTGCTTTGTAGAAAATGCATTTTTCTCCTGAAACTTCACTCTATTTAACTGGGTAAGCTGTATTACGACGATTATGTTTGTTTACATGAAGACTGCAATGGTCCTAAGCCAGAGTTCCGTAACCATTGTTATTCAAAAGGAAATATTTTCAGGCATTGTATTGAAAGTAATATCTGTTTCTGCATGCCTAATCAGTGAAGAATTGTTCTGCATAACTGCAGAATGAGTAGATCGTAATGTCACAATAGGTTTTTCCTAGTTTCAGTATTTAGCTATGTCTTAAGTATTTTGGGTAAGAAATTTGTTGCTGTGGGGAAATTCGTTTAATTAACCAGTGAAAACTGGAAGAAGTCCTAAGCCTGTTTCAGAACAAGATTTACAAGAATTAGATTTCATAGCATAAGACATTCCTATCATTTCAGTATCTTGGTAGGTATCCTTAATTGTTGAAATTTTATTTTTAAATTAAGATTTGATTTCTTGGGCCTCCATGGGAGGCAGTCTGTATAACTTGGGTAGTGCCCGGCTACGTGTTAAATACCATAAAGCTATTGGCTATAGATGCTGAGCACCAGCGTGACAGATGTAGAAAAGAATGTGTGCTAAACCAGAAAAAAAATAATTGAAGTCCACAAAATAATGTATATCTACACTATTAGGAAAGCAGAAACAATACCAGGACTTTCATACATACACTTCTAACCAGAATGTGGCTCCAGTGACTGAAGTAAACATGTTTACATACATTCAGAAAAATGGTATCACAGGACATTTTTTTTGTATTTTTCAGAACAATTTTTTTCAGCTCAAGACAATGATTATAACACAAGACTTTTAAAAAACAAGGACTGCTGTTGGAAGGGTGTTCAAAATAAGTAGATCAGTCAGAAGTAGCAAATTTTTAAACTAAAGGCAATGTTTTTAAAAAAAGGACTCAAAAGCCATGATTTTGTAGACAGTGGCTTGTCAGCAGGTGATCTTGGAAAAGCTATAGAGTAATGGAAGTATCTTACAGCATCTGCAGGTCAAAATGCAGACAAAAATTAATAACTGGAAAAATCCCTCCAATTTGGTGACAGTAACTCCATATTTTATGTGGGACAGCAACTGCAGTATAAAAGTAAAAATTGCTTATGTGCACCACTAACGAAGTGCATATTATCTTTACCTGAAAAGGCACTGTAGTTACCGGTTAAGGGTCAGTCTGATGGAATGTTTAATGACACGAATGTTATTTGTTGGAACAGGAGAAGATGAATCTGGTAGCTCTTTACTGGCAAGTCTCTACAGTAGAAAAATGGAAACCAAGGGGGAAGGGGAAATTATTTTTAAATATGCATAATGTAAACAGAAGTTGGGTAGAAAGTGAAACTGTTGTTTCAGCAGTAAACAAGACCTACAGATTAACTTCATGACCTACCACACCAAACCAAGCAGTCTAGAATATGCTATTCCCCCCACCATAGTGATTATCTGCCAATTCTCTACTAGAAGTTAGACACTTGCAGGCAAAGTGTCTGCTTTTCACCGTGAAGGCATTTATGCACTAAAATAGTACAGGGGAAGGGGCATTCCCCCCACCCCCGCCTAGTTTTCCCTCAAGAGTTCATCTGAATTAGGCAAAAACCAGCATCAAGTGGCATGTTGCTAGGGTTGCCAGGTCGAAAAGAAACCCTGGCAGCTCTGGGGCTGGCAGGTTCCCTACTGGGAAGCTATGCAAAGCCAGGAAGTAGTGACATGTCCCTCAGCTCCTAAGCAGAGGAATGGCCAGGGGAGTGCCACATGTTGCCGCCACCCTGAGTTCCAGTTCCACAGCTCCCATTGGCCAGAAACCATGGCCAATGGGAGCTGCAGGGGCAGTGCCTATGGGCAGAGGCAGCATGGCTGCTTGAGGTAAGCACCACCCTGAGCTCACACCACTCACCCCCTCCCACACCTTAGTCCCTGCCCCAGCCTTGAGCCCACTCCTGCACCCATATTACACCCTCCCAGAGCCTGCACCTCCTCCCGTGCCCCAACTGCCTCAGCCCCAGCCCAGAACCCCCTCCCACACTCCAAACTCCTTGGCCCCAGCCCAGAGCCCCCTTCTGCACCCTGAACTCATTTCTGGCCCCACCCTAGAGTCACACCCCCACCCACACATCCCAGCCTGGTGAAAACAAACAAATGTGGTAAGAGTCTTAATATTAAATTTCAGACTGCATATCTTGATTGGCCTAGCTTTAGATCAAGAGAGCCTGAAAAAATTAGGTTTCAAAATCTGAAGTGTAATTGCTATAATTGGCTGATATTTTTGAGCATATCCAATTTTTGACATTGAAGTCCTGTATGTGATATGGAGGTTGATTAACTGCTCAGAGCACTCAGTGAAGAATGTGATTGAAGCAGAGCAAAGATTCTAGTGACACTAAGAAGTCTGTTTGGAAAGAAAGGGCCTTTGTCTAGTTTTTTGAAGGGGTTGTGAAGTTTGAATACCTGAGATGGTAGGAGAAAGATGCTTGTGTGTCCAAATGAAATGTTTTTCAATCTTTGGCTGGATGCCTAAACCTTTTTAAGTAAACATGGCAGTTTGGGACTTCTGTCTGTTTGAGAGCTGCTTTGCAGCTCTCCAAAATACTACTGCACAGTGTGTAAGCGAGAATCAGTTACCATATGTTACCACAAGAGTTAAAGAATTATAGTAAATCAACAGAAAAGTACTTGACACTGTCAAATTGCTAGCTTTGTGTGTAAACTAATATTACCTTAATATATACTGGAAATATTCACTAGTTTTGCTTTATCTGTGAACATAAAGACTAGGTAGACCATACCTGTGATCTTGATGTGTCAATAGTTGGAACAGGCATGGATTCCCCTCCTCCAAGGCTATCCTAAAAACCCAAAGTATTTAAGAATAGTGTACTGAATGCATTGCAATTAAGTTCCTTTATATGAAAAGCACAAATATCAGCTCACAAACAAATGCTTATTAAATGCTGGTTAGATCTATATTTCTAGTTCCAACTAACAAGAAAGCATTTATGAAACTTTAAAAGCCTCATGACATCTATTCTTTATGTGGAAGGCATTTTGGGTCATTTTATTCTTCTGTAAAGGAGGGCCTACATATGTACCCAAAGATATGAATCACAGGGTGTGCCCCCTCAAGATAACAGTTTTTAGCTAGACTTTTCTTACGTGCGACATATTCAGACTTTTTTCACAGGAAAAGGGAAGTGTGCTCAAAATTTGAATTTACATAAAACAGACCATTATTTGACATGGTTATTTTACATATAAATCCAGGCTCTGTGAACTTACCTAAGCAGCGCCCAGCTTCTGCCTATAGGTTGGGCTGCCTTTCCTATCAACTTCTTTAAAGAAAAAATTTATGTTTGAAGGAGGCAAGATTTAAATTGTTTATTATAGAAGAGTGAGAAGAGCTGAGCAAGTAATTGCTTTTTTGGTTTACTGGCATTTCTGAAAAAAATATTTGGTTTGAGTCGACTGAAATTCAAAGAAGTTTTTGCCAAACTGAAAGAAAGTCAATAAAAACTTTAGGTGAAACAAAATGTTTAATTTGATCCAAAACAAAAATATTTAATTTCATGGCACTTTTAAAATAAAGCAGCAAAGGAAATGATTCACAAGATGGCCACAGGTAGTGGTGGTACCTCCCTTATACCTTTTATCCCACTGGTCAGGGCACTCAGCTGGGATGTGGGAGACTGGGGTTCAATACCTGCCTCCCCAGACTTGAGTTTCACACATTGCAGGAAAGCGCCCAAACAACCGGACCATTGCATAATCTGGGTTGGGCATCTCAATCTCTCCTATTGAAGCTGTTCCCCTTGGTATACAAAAATGTTTGAATAGTCATTGGGAGAGACTGACTACAGCCAGGTGATTAGGGTACTTATCTGGAAGGGTTTCAGAGTAACAGCCGTGTTAGTCTGTATTCGCAAAAAGAAAAGGAGAACTTGTGGCACCTTAGAGACTAACCAATTTATTTGACAATGAGCTTTTCTGAGCTACAGCTCACTTCATCGGATGCATACCGTGGAAATTGCAGCAGACTTTATATACACACAGAGAATATGAAACGATACCTCCTCCCACCCCACTGTCCTGCTGGTAATAGCTTATCTAAAGTGATCAGGTTGGGCCATTTCCAGCACAAATCCAGGTTTTCTCACCCTCCACCCCCCCACACAAATTCACTCTCCTGCTGGTGATAGCCCATCCAAAGTGACAACTCTTTACACAATGTGCATGATAATCAAGTTGGGCCATTTCCTGCACAAATCCAGGTTCTCTCACCCCCCTCCCAAAAACCACACACACAAACTCACTCTCCTGCTGGTAATAGCTCATCCAAACTGACCACTCTCCAAGTTTAAATCCAAGTTAAACCAGAACATCTGGGGGGGGGAGGATAGGAAAAAACAAGGGGAAATAGGCTACCTTGCATAATGACGTCTTGTATTTTCGACGTCTCCGACTCAAGGAATATTTCCAAAATACCTCTGAACAACATACTAATCCACAGAGGTCTCCCTACCAACACTACAGAAAGAGGGATTCTAGGTGGACTCCTCCTGAAGGTCGAAACAGCAGACTGGGCTTCTACATAGAGTGCTTCTGCCGACGTGCACGGGCTGAAATTGTGGAAAAGCAGCATCACTTGCCCCATAACCTCAGCCATGCGGAACGCAATGCCATCCACAACCTCAGAAACAACTCTGACATCATAATCAAAAAGGCTGACAAAGGAGGTGCTGTTGTCACCATGAATAGGTCGGAATATGAACAAGAGGCTGTTCGGCAGCTCTCCAACACCACTTTCTACAAGCCATTACCCTATGATCCCACTGAGAGTTACCAAAAGCAACTATAGCATTTGCTTAAGAAACTTCCTGAAAAAGCACAAGATCAAATCCGCACAGACACACCCCTGGAACCCCGACCTGGGAGATTCTATCTACTACCCAAGATCCATAAACCTGGAAATCCTGGGCACCCCATCATCTCAGGCATTGGCACCCTGACAGCAGGATTGTCTGGCTATGTAGACTCCCTCCTCAGGCCCTACGCTACCAGCACTCCCAGCTATCTTCGAGACACCACTGACTTCCTGAGGAAACTTCAATCCATCGGTGACCTTCCTGATAACACCATCCTGGCTACTATGGATGTAGAAGCCCTCTACACCAACATTCCACACAAAGATGGACTACAAGCCGTCAGGAACACTATCCCCGATAATGTCACGGCTAACCTGGTGGCTGAACTTTGTGACTTTGTCCTTACCCATAACTATTTCACATTTGGGGACAATGTATGCCTTCAGATCAGCGGCACTGCTATGGGTACCCGCATGGCCCCACAGTATGCCAACATTTTTATGGCTGATTTAGAACAACGCTTCCTCAGCTCTCGTCCCCTAAAGCCCCTACTCTACTTGCGCTATACTGATGACACCTTCATCATCTGGACCCATGGAAAAGAAGCCCTTGAGGAATTCCACCATGATTTCAACAATTTCCATCCCACCACCAACCTCAGCCTGGTCCAGTCCACACAAGAGATCCACTTCCTGGACACTACAGTGCTAATAAACAATGGCCACATAAACACCACCCTATACCGGAAACCTACTGACCGCTATTCCTACCTGCATGCCTCCAGCTTTCACCCTGACCACACCACACGATCCATCGTCTACAGCCAAGCTCTGCGATACAACCGCATTTGCTCCAACCCCTCAGACAGAGACAAACACCTACAAGATCTCTGTCAAGCTTTCTTACAACTACAATACCCACCTGCGGAAGTAAAGAAACAGATTGATAGAGCCAGAAGAGTTCCCAGAAGTTACCTACTACAGGACAGGCCTAAGAAAATAACAGAACGCCACTAGCCGTCACCTTCAGCCCCCAACTAAAACCCCTCCAACGCATTATTAAGGATCTACAACCTATCCTAAAGGATGACCCAACACTCTCACAAATCTTGGGAGACAGGCCAGTCCTTGCCTACAGACAGCCCCGCAACCTGAAGCAAATACTCACCAACAACCACATACCACACAACAGAACCACTAACCCAGGAACTTATCCTTGCAACAAAGCCCATTGCCAATTGTGCCCACATATCTATTCAGGGGACACCATCACAGGGCCTAATAACATCAGCCACACTATCAGAGGCTCGTTCACCTGCACATCCACCAATGTGATATATGCCATCATGTGCCAGCAATGCCCCTCTGCCATTTACATTGGTCAAACTGGACAGTCTCTACGTAAAAGAATAAATGGACACAAATCAGATGTCAAGAATTATAACATTCATAAACCAGTCGGAGAACACTTCAATCTCTCTGGTCACGCAATCACAGACATGAAGGTCGCTATCTTAAAACAAAAAAACTTCAAATCCAGACTCCAGCGAGAAACTGCTGAATTGGAATTCATTTGCAAATTGGATACTATTAATTTAGGCTTAAATAGAGACTGGGAGTGGCTAAGTCATTATGCAAGGTAGCCTATTTCCCCTTGTTTTTTCCTATCCCCCCCCGATGTTCTGGTTTAACTTGGATTTAAACTTGGAGAGTGGTCAGTTTGGATGAGCTATTACCAGCAGGAGAGTGAGTTTGTGTGTGTGGTTTTTGGGAGGGGGGTGAGAAAACCTGGATTTGTGCAGGAAATGGCCCAACTTGATTATCATGCACATTGTGTAAAGAGTTGTCACTTTGGATGGGCTATCACCAGCAGGAGAGTGAATTTGTGTGTGGGGGGTGGAGGGTGAGAAAACCTGGATTTGTGCTGGAAATGGCCCAACCTGATGATCACTTTAGATAAGCTGTTACCAGCAGGACAGTGGGGTGGGAGGAGGTATTGTTTCATGATCTCTGTGTGTATATAAAGTCTGCTGCAGTTTCCACGGTATGCATCCGATGAAGTGAGCTGTAGCTCACGAAAGCTCATGCTCAAATAAATTGGTTAGTCTCTAAGGTGCCACAAGTACTCCTTTTCTATCTGGAAGGGGAAGACCCAAGTTCAAGTCCCTGCTCCAATGACTATAAGAGATTGAGAGACCTGTCCCATAATATTCCATAGCCCAGTGACATAATGCAACATGGTCATATAAAAAGGAGGCACCACCTCCTCCCACCATTTTGTGAATGGTGCCTAAGCTAAAAATTTGGCTGAAATCATTGGGCAAATTAGTGTCAAAATTCAAATAGTTTAGAGTTGACCAAAGCTTATTGGATGAAAATTTCAGTTATTTGTCCAAAAAATTTCACCTAGTTCTAGTTTTAAGTCTAGAAATAATTCAAATGCTCGGAGAGAACTAAAGTATCAGATTACACTTTAGCTTCCCAGCAAATAATTTCTGGGTGTGATGTGTGGAGAAACAGGAAAATGGATAAAGCTTGATAAGAGCTGTAAGTAACAAACGTTTTTCTGTCTAACCGTGATTTTAACTGAAATTTATTCTTAGTCATGTCAAGTGGAATATCTAAGGAATTTTACTTAGTTAAGAGTTAAAGTAGTTTACTCAGGATTTAAAAAAATTAAGACAAATGCTTCAAATTATATTTTTTCCTGTAGATTTTCTCTTTACATCATCTTGGATGCTACAATCTTTGAATGCTGAATCCAGTCCAATTTACTAGAGTAGGATACATAGTATCAAAGCCATTTATATGGTTAGAGCTCAGGGACCAAACTATCCTCAGTACAAACTATCCTCGGTACGAGTACAACTTTCATTCAAATCAATAGGAGTTGTGAGTGCATATCTGAGTCTGAACTTGACCTAGCATGAACAGTCCTTACGGAAGAAAGCATTGCTGTTGGACTACAAAACACAAGCAAGAACCAGA